CCCTTGCCTCGAAATGCGTGGATGATGCATGCTTGACTCACCTTGCTCGGAAACCCGTGCCATGCCACTGTTGCCTTTGTTTACACTGCTCTACTCCTCTGAAAATTGCGCACCTCCCAAGGTGCACTCTTTGGACACTGGAGAGCATCACCGACCAAGTGGGATCACCACCGGCCATGTCTGGATGGTTATCGGCCATTTATAAGTCCATCGGCCAACAATTAATGGCCGGTCGGCAGTATAGGTGGCTGGCCGGCCAAAGCTTCCTGCAGAACCTGTTTTTGACAGCAGTAGAGGGCAGACAGTGCATGGCAAGGAAATTCAAAGCAATGTATGCATGGCCACTCTCCCTATCATGCAATGGACTCAATGGAGCATGGCCCTCGACCCTCGGGCCATCAATCACGCATTTCAATGCATGATGGCGCAAAAGTCAAGTATGCATTTCAATGTCAAATGCAATACACACAAAACATACAAGGGACCCAACCTCAATCATGGTTGATCAAGAGGTGAGGCAATGCACGACGATGCACATGCGACCTAAGCATACAAGCAAACATACAAACATGCAATGCAACTACATGGCACACACAATGCTAACAACATAACATGTACAACGCATTGAAACATGGCATACATAATGCAGGATGGACTTACACTAACATGAATGGACCTCAGCCACACTCACATCAATAGCCATTAGGTGAAAATGAGACTCTCGAAATGCGTGCACGCATGCACACAAATCGAGGACTGAACCTAAAGCATAACATGTAACTCTAACAAGACATGGCAAGGGATGCTAGATGGCATGCAAACTCACAAATTTCAGCACTGAAATATGATGCTAAACAGCCCCAAAACATGGAAAAATGGCACCCGATGCATGAGACGAAACCCGAAACTCGAAACTAAGCACATGCAATGATTTATAGCTATACAAAGCATGCATTATTTGATCATGAAGCATGAAGACAAAGCCAAGGCAGTCCCAAAACATGGACACTTCCAGTTCAAAGCATGGCCAAAAGATGCTAGCATGGTGGACAAAATAGCATGCAATCTTGACTAGCAATCATGGTTTACATGTCAAGTATATGAAGCAAATGTAATCTCACCAAACCAGTAAAAATCAGTGAATAAATCATGTGAAAATAGGCCCAAATAACCACTGATATGCAACCATGATATGCAAAAATAATGAGTTACTTTGGAGGGCCATGCAAAGAGTTATTAAGCACATGCAAGATAGACATTTAGCATGGCATAAACAACCATGAAAATCAAATATAATAGTCCTAAAACTCACCAAATTGACCCTGGAGAGTGACTTCGAAGCATGCGAGGTAGGGTCTCTTTGGAAGGCCAAAAAGGCCACCAAACAAGAGAAGGAGAGAGGGGGTCACCCCCCTCTAATCTTGGCTCTCAAAATAGTGTTCCAGCCACTGAAAATCCACTGGATTTCAATGGCTAGAAGGCCAAACCAAGCATGCAATTGGGGCTTAGGTGTAAGGCTCAAAACAAGGGACAATCAAGCATACAAGGAAGCATGTGGCCTCAAATAAAATAATGCCCTTAATAAAACATGAATATGATGTCAAAACAATCCTTTTTCCAGTTTATAACAAGTCTAAAAAATGAACATAAATAGGGCTAATCTATCATGCAAAAATGATCCTAAAAGAGAGAACAGAGATAAGGGACAGCAGCTGGCTCCAAACAGTGAAGAGCCCTTCAACAAAGTTGAAGAGGGGCTCAAAATGAAGCACTTTACAGTTTACATCAAGTCTCGAAAATGAACAAAAGTGAGGCTAAATCAGCATGCAAGAAAAAAGCCTAAAAGAGGGATAGAGAGGCAAGTGGTAGCAGCTGACCTCAAACAGAGGAGAGCCCTTCAACAAAGTTGGAGAGGGGCTCAAAAAAAGACATTTCACAGTTCATGACCAAGTCCAAAACAGCTCACAAATAAGCCTAAAATATCATGCAAAAATAGACCTAAAATAGAGTTTAAACACAAAGGGGGAGGAGGAGACCTCAAACAGCAAGAGGTCCTTGATCAAACATGAAAAGGAGCTCAAAATATGACTATTTACAGTTCAGGCCAGAGCCCAAAAATGTAAGCAACAAAGGCTAAGATTGCATGCAAAATAGAGCAAAAAGAGAGAGAAATGAGGCTCACCCTTGTAGAACAACAACACAGCAGCTTTTTAGTCCAAGGAAATGAGCTTCTAGCCTCTGGAAATCAGCCTCAAGTTGCTGGAATGGAGTGTGGAGGTTGTAGGCTATGAGTGGTAGTGTAAAGGGGGGCAAGAACCTTAAGGTTTGAAGGGTTTGGAAGAGAGAGATAGGGAGAGAGTTGAGAATTTTAGAGAGAGAGGAAAATGTTTTTTTTATTTCAAGTTGTATCTCTCTTCTTTCCTTCTTTCCCTCTTCTTTGAGAGAGCTTGATTGATATAGATATATCAATCTGCAGCCCCCTCAGAACTCCCACGTCTAGGCATGGACTGGGGTATGGCCTGGAATGACAGCTGCCAGCTATCCACAGAGATATCTGTTGAAAACCACACTTGGCCGGCCGGCCATCAAAGTGATCGACCGGCAGTCAAATTGGCCGGCCGGCCATCACATTTGGCCGATTGAAAATCAAGGTGGCCGGTGGGCAGGAGACTTGGTCGACAGGCTAATGCATATACCTCATACTATTTCTCAAATACTTAATATAAATATAATGGATCCTATTGTTAAATATAATCACAATAGAATAATCTACCATCCTCGCACAAAAAAATTCCTCAACAAATTGTGAATCGAGAAAAATGATCATTCTAATATTATTGCTTTAGTTAATGATTGATAATGTTTTGTTACTTCAGTGTAAAAAAAGAGATTTGGCTTCTCTCAAGTTGTTTGGACTTGGCAAGTCCATTTTGAGACCGATTTTAGGGTTCAAATAGTTCATTTTTTAATTCTCGTTGAGTAGAATTTTTATATAAAAAATTAAGGCGATCAAATATCAGTAACTATTCTTAAAATTATATTACAAAAAATGAATGACTATTCTTAAAAATTATACTTGTCGTTAATTTTTTTTAAACAAATATGATTCAAACTTATAGACACTGATATTCAATCATCTTATTTTTTGCATTAATATTATACTCAACAAGTTTTAAAAAGTGAACAGTTCGAATCATCAAAATGTCTCAAAATGAGCCTAGCAAGCATAAATACTCTCTCAAGTGGATATGACAATTTGAGAAAAGCTAAACCCTACCAAAAAAAATAAAATAAAATTGAACTTGTGTAAATTGTGGCATTTCTTTAATATTAAAATTTTTGTAAAAATTGATTTGAAAAGATAAAATTTAAAGAAAAATTACAATACAGTGTGGTATTAAAAAAATAATTACAGAATCGTTGAAAAATTTATAATTTTAATTATTAATGTTGATAAAAAATTTCACTAATCTATAATTATTTTTCTGACAGTACAATAATACTTTGAATTTAATTTAAATTGTTTTTTAAATTAGTAAAAAAAAAATTTATATTATTATTTTTAAGAGAAAATTACAACAAAAAAAATCCAAAGCCTTTATAATAAAATAAATTCTAAATTTTATTAATTTAAATCTTAATATTTTAATTTATTTTATATAATTACATTGAGTTTAATGATTAAAATACTATTTTCAGTCGATTTTACTTAATAAAAATAAATAAATTATTTAGAAATAAATGAATTATTTAGATTGAAGATAAATTAAGTGATTAAAACTTAAATTAAGAAAATTAAATTTATTTTCTTACAAAATCAAACTGAGATTTTTATTTTTTTTATTTTGGCAACTAGAAAAATAAAATAAAATTATTGACTTATAGGCTTCATTTGGAAACAGACTATTTTATTAACTTTTTGATTTTTTAGCTAAAATATGAGGCAAGTTAAAAGTATTGCATGCCAATCGAGACCTGATATTTAGGTTATATTACCTCTTTATTTTTTTACATTTTTTTTAAAAAAAAAAAGTAAAAAATTAAGGCTCTGCTTGGTTGTGATTTGTAAACGTGTTTCTACACGTGCGTTTGAGTATGATGTTTGGTTGTTGTTTTGGAATCAATTTTCACGAGCTCTGCAGAGAGCTCTGTGCATCAGCCTATATTTGAGTATGATGTTTGGAAGGAGTTTTGGAATCAGTTTTCCAAAACTCTGCAAAGAACTCTGTCTTAGGCGCGATTTTCATAATTTTTTTTTTGCAAATTTTGCCTAACCAGTCGTCCAGCCGATTGACCAGAATAGTGATTCTTTTTTTATTTTTTTGTGCAATTGATATGTTAATTTTTATAAAATCGAAAAAAACATTTTCTGAATTTTTTAAATTTTTTTATGTGCTTTAAAATAATTTTGAGTTGTATGTTTAGTTATGAGTTGTAAATTTTTGTATCACATATCAAATATCACATTAACAATTCCCCACTCAAATCAAAACTCTTTACCAAACAAATTTTCTACACTCAAATTATAATTCTACAACACACAAACTCAAAATACAACTCATACTCTCAAATTACATTTACAAAACACAACCAAACGCAGGCTAATTTTTTACCTACTTTCCAAAATAAACCGTAAATAATTTTCGATTAACAAGAGATTAGTACAAATTTGAAAAAAAAGATTGCTGCCACTCTAGATGAGAAGAGGAGTTTTAAGGCCTTGTTTGTCATCTACTATATAATCCATCTTTTTATCTTTTTTTATTACATCATCTCTTTACTTTTCTGGACATCTTTTCGTAAAAAGACAACAAATACACTTTTTTAGTACACCCAAAACCCTAAGAGCTCGTGGAAGTCCCACGCTGACGTGATATTTGTGTCTTATTTATTTTTTTTGATGAATCATTTCTGGTACAAACATATCCAAAAGTTGCTGGACTTTTTCAGAGGGAGGGAGAGGGAGAGGGAGAGAGAGAGATGGATCCTATTGTTAGAGATCTGCACGACGCCTTCGATTCGAATCCAAAAACACAGAGGTTCAAAGCGTCGATCAAGGGCTTTTTCTACTCGAGATCCTTGCTCGAATTTACAAACTTCACTTGAATTCTCAGTTCAATCCACACTGCAAGTGAAAAAAAAGAAAAGGAAAATCCTAAATCATTTTTTTTTGGCGAAACCGAATCAATTTTTCAGATCACAAATCGATCCATTTTCATCTCAAAAAAGAAAAAAACCTAGTCAATGGAGTCCATTGGAGTTCGATGTGATTGTCACGCTCATCAGTCACTTCTCTCTATTGTCTCCAAGTATTTTTGATAGTTTTTTTTTTCTTTTCTTTTCTTTTCTTTTGGATTTCTATTGTGAAGAAAAGGAAAGATGAATGTGGCAAAGTCTCAGGTGTGGCAGCCTTGCAAGAGGAAGAGATCTTGATTTCTAGAGAGAAATCAAAATCAATGGATAGAGAGATCTTGAGGTTAGACAGAGAAAGAGAAGAAAAAAAAGTCTGACTGATACAGACACACAAATCAATATATACATAGTGTGACATGGCTTCAATTGGCGGCGGCGGCGGCGACGGAGAGAGAGTGAGGACGAGGGTGGGGAGGTACGAGCTAGGGCGGACACTGGGGGAGGGAGCGTTTGCGAAGGTGAAATTTGGAAGGAATTTAGAAACTGATGAGAATGTGGCTATAAAGATTCTCAACAAAGAGAAAATTCTCAAACATGATATGATTGGTCAGGTATTCCAACAATTCTCTATTGTTTCAGTGAATAAATAAATACTGAGTTTCTTACTATATTAATTAATTGTTTGCGTTGGCTTTTTATTATTCTGACCAAGAAACATGACAATGAAATTTCAAGCTTTACCCTTTATATATACGCTGTTTATGTTCTAAGAATTTAGTATATCCTGTCACCCAATCCTTCAAAAAAAAGGTTAGCCTCCGTTTGACAAGTTGGTTTTGAGGTATTTTGGGTTAAAATAATCACAAAAAAATAAAATAAATTTTTTAACTCAAGACAAAATATCATATTTAATTCATATTCATTACTTTCTTTCTTTCACAAAATAATTCAAAAAAAAAAAAAGTCAAAAATGTTCCTAAATTACGCTTTTTAATCCAGACTAAAATAATTATAAAAAAAAAAAGTTAAAAAATTAACTCATTTCTCAAACAAAGACTTAAATGAAAAAAATTAATAATAAATTAATACCGTTTTACCTCTACATCAATTTACCAAAAGAGCAAAACCCTAGCCCCAACTCCGGCGGCCACCCTAGCTCTGGTCAGCTCTTCTCTAGATCTGGCCAGCCCCACTTGCCATGCTCCAGTCCTTCCCCACTCTGTGGCGCCACCTTTTTACCCTCCGGCAGCACCCTGATGAAATGGGTGGGAGAGGGGGCGACTGCTGTTGGGAGGAAAACGGAGGCGGCGATAGTGGTGGGGGATGAAATGGGTAGCGGTAGGGTTGGGATTAATTAGAATATTCAAAGCGAAAAATAAAATTAAAATTTGAGAGTGCGGTGTCCTAATAAGTTTCTGTTTGAAAAGTGGGTTGGTTTTTTGGTTTTTTAGATTTTTTGGTTATTTTAGCCTGGGCTAAAAAGCTTAGTTTGGGAAGAATTTTTTGACTTTTTAGTTTTTTTGACTTTTTTTTTTTAGAGAAGAGTGTAATGATTATGGGTTAGATGTGATGTTTTGTTTTTTGTGACTAAAATAGTCAAAAAAAACTCACTTTAGTTCTTCCCAAACGGACCCTAAATGAGGTGTTTACCACATTTTATGAGGTGGTTTTAGGAAAATATGCTATGATTCACATCTTTCAAAGGATATATACCATACATATCTTATAATTAAAAAAATAACATAATTTAATTTTTTGAATCATAATTAAAAAAATGTCATAACTAAATATAATATAAAAGCATAATTAAAGAATTTATGAATCATAACTAAAATAATGTCATAACTAAAAAAGAAAATTAGTCAGAACATAACTAGAAGTCCATATGATACTCCCCTTTTGCATGTGCATATTAGAATTTCCTTGCATTTAGAGGCTCTTGAGTTTATATATTATAAAAACCAAAATTACCTCATTATCCTTGCATACTAAGGCCTCGTTTGGGAACATGCTAATTTAGTAACTTTTTGGCTATATGGCTAAAAAGGTAGGTAAAAAAAACTTGTATGTTTGGGATGACTTTTTGGCTAATTACGAAAAGATGTGCAAAAAGTAGAGAGAAAAGAGAATCTTTGACTTTTTGGTATGGGTTGTTGGCTTTTTGACTAATTTAGTAACTTTTTAACTAATTGACTAAAATAACCTCTTGCCAAACGAGGCCTAAAAGACAAATGCTTGGTTAGGTTTTTCAAAAGTCACTTTTCAAAAAATTTTATTTTCTTATTTTTCGTATTTTTTTGTTTTTATTGAATTTTTTTAATATTTTAATCAATTTTTTTTATTTTTTAGACATACCTAACATAAATATATCTAAAAAGTAAAAAAATTATTAAAAAAATCTTTTAAAAATTTACTAAATACCAAAAATACAAAAAAAAAAACGAGAATTCAATACATTTTTTATATTTTTATATATTTATTTATTTTTTAAAATAATTTTTTACAATTTTTTTACTTTTTAGATACATTTAAGTAAGGTGCATTTAAAAAAGTAAAAAAAATGTTTAAAATTTTAAAAATATTTACTAAAAACAAAAAAAATACGAAAACTAAAATACTCAATTTTTAAAAAATTTAATCTAAAAAATTCAAACCAAACACACTGATTGATACAATCTCTTGTAAACCCCCCCATCCCACCCCGCTGCCGCCACCCCACCATCTCATCTACCCACCAAGCAACCACCCAAACCCACAACTTGCAACATAAAAATTGCACAACAACAATAGAATGAAGAAGAATAAAAATAGGGTATTGGGGGAGAGAGGAGTATAATGGTGGCGGTGGCCATGGCCATAGCCACAATGAAAAATACATTCAAAAAATAAAATGGTTGATAGAAGGAAACCAATTAGTTAACCTAATGACTAACAATACGGGTATTTGTTTTGCAATTTGAAACCTAAAGAGGCAGGATATATTATTTTAGAGTCTGAGGGAGTCGAAAATATTTTAAACAAACCTTAGGGTGTGTATTTATAATTTATTCTTTCCCTTTTCACTAACATGAAAACAGTATTTTAGAGCCTAAGGGAGTCAAACATATTTAAAGCAAACCTTAGGGTGTGTATTTATAATTTACTCTTTACCTTTTCACTAACGTGAAAACAATGAATATATGAAGTTGTGAAAAATATTTTTTTTAAAAAAAGTATATATCACATTTAAATTTATTTTCTCGTTCGGAAAAACATCATCTCGTTTGCATATTTCAATTGCCAATTGAGTTCATTGTATATTCTTTATTTCTTTACCTGGCATTGATAATGATAGTATGGATGAATCAATGTTGTGGCTATTTTATTGACACATTCTGGCATTGATAATGATAGTATGGATGAATCAATGTTGTGGCTATTTTATTGACACATTGAACAATAATCTTCATTCTTTAAATCTGAATCTGTATTTTTTAGAATTTGATGTTGGATATTTAAATCTTAATTTTATGGTGACATTATAATTATGTTTTTTCCTCTACAGATTAAACGTGAAATTTTAACCATGAAACTAATCAGACACCCAAACGTTATCCGTATGTATGAGGTTAGAATGTGGCACAAGCATCTTATATTTCTCATGTGTGATTTTACCTGGGGTTCTAATATGACCAAACCTTTTCAGGTCTGGGAGTTTGGTTGCGGGCAAAATATTGTACTAATTAGACTTGTGGACTTGTAAATGACAAAGTTTGCTGTATTATAATCATATAAGATCAGTAACTCTGTTGTATTTTTCTTACATAAATAGGCATGTTTCTCCTTTTTGATGACCCATGTATTTTTTGAGCAACTCAAGATCCTCTGGTTGTAGGTTATGGCAAGCAAGACAAAAATATTCATTGTTTTGGAATTTGTGACTGGTGGCGAACTTTTCGACAAAATTGTAAGGCTTTGATTGCTTGATTTAATGCATTGATTCTCATGAAAATGTTGTTCCATACAATTAGTGACCATGTTGGATTTTGTACAATTTTTTTGAGGCAGTCTAGTAAAGGGAGGTTGAAAGAAGATGAAGCAAGGAAGTATTTTCAGCAGCTCATAAATGCGGTGAATTACTGCCACAGCAGAGGTGTCTTTCATAGGGATCTGAAGGTGAGAAAATCACTGACTTTTGGTTTTAATTTCTGCCAAGGTCCAGCTTTCTTCAACATAGTCACAGAGTTGATGACCAAATCAGACTTATACGGATTTGCATTTTCATACTCTATAATTCACAGCCGGAGAACCTGCTGCTGGATGCAAATGGAATCCTTAAAGTTTCAGATTTTGGATTAAGCGCTCTACCTCAGCAAGTTCGAGTATGTGACAGCTTCCTGTCTAGTACTTCTCATCTGCATCCTACTCATCGGAAAAAAAAAAATGATCTGCATCCTCGTAGTAAAAATTGTGTCAAAGTTTCAGGGGGCAACGCTTCATTTATTTTATCTATACGTACAGTATTGCATTGTTTAAACTCTTGATTTGATGATAGTGTGGCAACCATTACACATGTTTAAAACTGAGTTTCTGAACTCTTCATACAGGAAGATGGGTTACTGCACACGACCTGTGGAACACCAAATTATGTTGCTCCTGAAGTATGGTATAGTGTTTACTGCAATTTAACATATCTATCTCTTCCTAACCGCCCTTATTATCCTCATCGCTTTGGTTGTTTACTTGTCTAGGTGATTAAGAATAAAGGCTACGATGGAGCTAAAGCAGATCTATGGTCGTGCGGTGTAATACTTTTTGTACTATTGGCAGGCTTTCTGCCATTTGAAGAGTCCAACCTCATGGAATTATACAAAAAGGTTTTTTTCTTTTTCTTCCAAATAATACCCTATCCCTTTGGGTTTTTTTGTTGTAATTTGTTATCCTGTCAGTGGTTTTTCTTTTTTTTTGCTAACTACGTGAAGTACTTAGCAAATCTTATTGCATTCTTTTCATGATATCCTCTAAGGAAATTATAGTTTAGAGTGGAGAAGATAATGCAGAAATTTGTTGGTTTAGGATGAAATGGACATTCTCTTGCGGGGTGACCAGCGCTGGCATGAGGTTAGCGTGGAGAAGAGAATGACAAAATTTGTCTTAATAATGTTATTTGGGTGAGTGGAATCATAGGTCTTTTGCTCACCCCAAACAACATGTATAAGAAATCTGTCTTATGCATCTTAATTAGAAGTTTGAGTTACATATGGTGTACAAATAAGCATGTAAACCTCAAGGGTTTGGCCTAGTGGGCATAACTTGAGGTCTGGGAGTGTGCTCCCTCCAAGTCTCAGATTCAATACCCACTAGTAGCAATAAGCTCCATGGGGCCATGTCTATACAAAGCATTCGCCTTGGCTTTAAATGGGGCCCCCGCAAGTAGGCTGTGGGATTGGTCTCCTAGATTATCCGCAGTGCGCATAATTTGACCCGCACACCCGGTTATCCAAAAAAAAAAAAAACATGTAACCGCTAGTTGTAGTTTCATATGTAGTTGTATTTATATGCAAGCAACAATTTTAGTGAAAAGTAACCTATTCTTGCATTCAATTGTAAAGATCAGGGGACCTCGTCTTCAATTTGCTTTTTAAAAAAAATTGGTATACTAAAACTCGAATTCAAATTTTGATGCCCCTTGGAGCCCCAAATTAGGGTTTCTTGAAATTGAGCGACAACTCCAATGAGGAAAGAGAAAAGACCAAAGGTGGTGAAAAAATTCAAGAAATGAGTTGCATTTGGCATGGTTTACATTTCCATGTGACTTAATATAAGTGAACCTTTTTGTTACGGATTGGTATAAGATTATCTTATGCATATTCATATTCTTATAATATTATGTTATTTTCTGTGGTTTACTTTTTAAGGTTGAGACATAGCTATATAAGGACTTCACATGATTGCAGATATTCAAGGCAGAATTTTTATGTCCACCATGGTTCTCCTCGGGCTCAAGGAAACTAATCAAAAGAATTCTGGATCCTAATACTGAGACAGTACGTCCACTCGTCTCTGGTTCTTGTGATAAAAATGCAGTAATCTTTTATTTTATGTTAAAGGACAAATTGCATTCATCTTGTTAATAATTTTGAGCATCTGATGTGCCCTTGAATTAAGTCGACAGTAATTTTTCATATCGGTTATAACCCAGGTTATGACAATATAGTTTTATGGTATGAAACAGCGCATTACGATTGCCGAGATCATTGAGAATGAATGGTTTCAAAAGGGGTATAGGCCACCCACTTTTGAACAAGAAGATGTTAGCCTTGATGACGTTGATGCTATATTTGATGAATCAGGGGTAATAGATCTTTTTGGTTTTCCAATTTCAGTTGGAACAATTTTTTCATGTTCTTTTTGGTTTGGATATTTGAGGAATGGGTCGTCAGAGTGACTTTGTATTTGATTTTCTTTTGGTGTACAGGACTCCAAAAACCTTGTTGTGGTGAGGCGGGAAGAACAGTCTGCAACGCCTGTCACCATGAATGCTTTTGAGTTTATCTCTAGGGCTCAGGGACTCAACCTTAGTTCTCTATTTGAAAAGCATATGGTATGTCATAAGTCTTTAATTTTGGTTATTGCGCTTGGTGCTTGAGCTATCAGATGTTAAATATCTTTTGGATCTGATAATTTCATGCATTTGCTTGCGAATGAATAGGATTATATTTTTTTTTATCTTGATCTGTGAAGCATATTCAAACCATATTAGGTTTTGCTAATCCAAATGTCGTGTGTAAATGCAGCTGGTGGTTTTGTCAGAAACATATTCTGTTACAAAAGTCAAGTTTTATTTTTATTGCCTCAAAATGACAAAATCACACTAAAATGATCATAATCTTAACGTGTCTATTATTTAAAAGAATATATATATATCGAGCTTGTTCATAATTTGAAGCTTGGAGTGGCTGACATCTACTTTTATGTCTAGGGGGTTGTTAAACGGGAAACAAGATTTACATCCAAATGTCCTGCCAATGAGATTATCTCGAAATTTGAGGAAGCTGCTGCATCTCTCGGTTTTGATGTAAGGAAAAAGAACTGCAAGGTACAATGAGCATTTGGTCTCTCCCTATGTTCAATTGTATTGTCTCTATGTTAATTCCAGAGTAAATTAGAAGGAGATTATTCAGATAGCTGTTCTTTGAGTTGGTTAATTTTCTTGTCTAATTGAACAAATGCAAGGAATGTGGGCTTCCTGAACCCCATTTCATTGCCTGTAAACTTGCATTTTTACTTTTCTACTACTAATTGCTAGGTCTGTTGTATTATGTTCAATCAATGGTCCTTTAAGCTGGCCCTCAGTTATATTGGATCAGCTGGTACTACTAAGTTCTTGTTTAGTGTTTGATAATGAATATCTTGTTTGAAGGTTGTTTGCTGAACTGGAGCGATTATCGTTTAATTGAGATGAAACTAAAATATAAGACACTTAAACGATAAAGTTAACTCTGTCCTACGTATAATTTATTTGGTTACTGATCTCAGCTAAAGCTTCAAGCAAAGAAAATTGGGTACAAGGGTCATTTATCCATTGCAACAGAGGTATTTTTCTTCCATTCACCTCATCAATGGATTTCTCCTGAAAAATCACAAGAACATTATTCAGACTAGTGTTTGAAATCAGGTCTGAAAGTAATTTGTCCAACAGGTTCTCGAGGTGGCTCCGTCACTTTACATGGTTGAACTTCGCAAGACTGCAGGGGATACCTTAGAATTTCACAAGGTATGGTGGTGAAATCTGATTGCAATGGTGTTGCTTGGTTATTATGGTTGTACAATTGGTTATCCGTTGATTCTAGACACCATGTTGTTCATGCTGGTGGCTCTTAAAATTGGCACAGCTGCAATATGATGTGCGAGGCAAGGAATTGATTACCTTTTCAGCCCACCCAATGGGCTATATGCTTAGGATCCTAAAAAACACAGACACGGATACGGACACTTGACATGAAACGAACAAGCTGACACGGAAATTTTCAAAAAATGTACGAATATTTAAAAGTCACTTTTTGGAATCTAAACAAGGATAATAGGTATAAATGTACATTATTTTTATTTTACCACTGTGTCTAGATCAAAGATTTGAGTAAGGATTTGTGAACGGAAGGGAAAACACAAACCCCCCTTCAAATCCTTCATTCAAACACAGCTGTAATATGTTTCATGTGTAGTGTCCGGTAGTGTCTGACACGGTGTTGGACACAACATGTTACGAATGTCCATGCTTCTTATAGCTAGGATCTTGCCAAACGTAAAAATTGCCTCCCCTTCCACAACATTGCCATGTTAGAAACCTTCTCTTTGCACATGTGCGTGCATGCATTTGTGTGTTTTTCCTCTTAACCATATACTATTATAGTATGCTTTTGAACTTTCGTTTGGGTACACAGTTTTACAAGAGCCTTTCGACTGGTTTGAAAGACATTGTGTGGAAAACATGTGATGAAACAGAAGGGGAAGTAAATGAAGGTCAGTATTGTATAGTAGAAGTAGCAATCAACCATATTTCAATTGAATATTGTGTGATGATTTGACACAAGGTCCGTTTAGAGGAATTTTGTGTGCAGCTTCACACAGATTAATTGCAAGTCCTATGAAAAGCATTAGGTCTGTCAGATGATTGGAACATCTTTATCATGGCGTACCTTCTTCCTGTGGGTGTTACATGTTTGCTGCACATATCTCTACATGTGTGATACCCCACCCAAAATTGAAACCATTTATTTCAAGTTATCAACCTTGAGTTTACATTATTAATGACTCAAAATTGATGTGAACTTTTTTTCTTTTCATTTTTTTTGGAGTCATGAATTATTGTTCTGCTTTCATTCATTCTACAGGTGTTGGTGTTGCGTCGTCTTCTTGATTACTGGCTTCCTTCAAAGATCTATGTTGGTGGAAATTTCAACATAATTTCAATCGCCAGATATTCGAATTCAGGTGATTAGGCTTTGCTTTACTTTATTTTTGTATGCAATATGCTTTCCCTTTGTTAAACACGATGTTTATCGGTAAAATATTACATTGTTGTTGCTTGATTTATTAAATTGAACAATAGTTTGCATAACTTATGCATTGCACAATAATTTTATAATAATAACATATTTTATTTATTATCTTATATATAATTATTAAATTAGTTCAATAAATCTCATTAGTTATGGACGTTATCAATACTGTAGCAACACATTACTGAATAAAAAATATAATATATAACATATAATTTTTGGTAACCGCTAATGTCCCGAACGAGAAATTAAGAAATTAATTGATTTTTCAAACTAAGTAAGAATATAATATTCATATTCCTGTATCACATTCTTAAAAGATTACAACTAGTAATGTACTCAAAAGTTTTTTAAACTTAATGAGTCTGTGAATCAACTCGATCAGTAAATAATTAATTTTGTGTATAAACATTGTGAAATTTACCCGTGATTGTGGATCCGAACCCTATGGACCTTGATATTAGCAGTAAATATTCAAAAAAATAAAAAAATAAAATAAAGTTGACTATTTCTGCCAGTACTTTTTAAAGTATTAATTTTTGGCTTCCTCTTCTTTGCCAAGATTAAAAAATAAAATAAACAAAGGCAGCTTCACTCTTCATTAATTTATTATCATATTATCTCTCTCTTGTATTATTATTTTTTGATGAATATGAAATATTATCTTTCGTCATCTACTTGTGGCATTGATGTTTATAAGCATATTTTGCTAAAAGATTCAAACAAAGTTTGTTTTACCTATATAGAATGGGTATAAATAATCAATTAATTATAAGGGACAAACCATTTCTTTCAAAGCAATTGCCCAATTAGGGATTGCTAACATTAAAAATTGAACATCTGACCCGGTTACGGTGAGTGTGAAACATAATGGGATTAATATATTTGTGAAAAGTCTAAATAATCTTTAAAAAATCATCACTTCTTCAAAATCTATTAGTTTTTAGGAAAAATGAGTCCTACTTTTCCTTATATATATATATATACATGTATATTGTACTCGATAAGATGTTAACATTTTAGATTTTGTTTGGCTACGTTTTTTTACTCACATTTTTACTTTTAGAAAAAATTAAAAAACTAATCACTTTTTTCCCCAACTTATTTAGCTTCCAATACAATTGAGGAGAAAAAAAATTGTTTAACAAGATTCATTTATTTATGTTTGGCAACGGCTAAAAACTCGCTTTTTTTGAATATTTTTGTCTTAAGAAATTTAATTATTTTACTTTTTGGGTCCTAATTCAAAAAGATGTCAAAAGTAAAAAAAAAAATTTGAAAAAGTCAATGAAAAAATACTATTAAAAAAAATAAACTTACACTTTTCCAATAACATAAAAGCTAGTTTTTTTTATTAATTTTTTCAATTTTTTTAGGAATAACTTTATTCTAAAAAATAGAAGTAAAAAAAACTAAAAAAATTAAGTGTCCAAACAAACTTTTAATAAGTTAAATTAATGCATCAGACATTTAATACATCATAAATAAATCAAATAATATAAGAGGTTTTAGAATAATGTTATATGTACTAATTAGTGTACTAACTAATATATCAATTGATGATGTGGCGTAATTTAAGAGATTTTAAAAATTTGTAATGTGATTAATAAGTGGGGTCAATAATAATATCATAATGTTGATACACTAATTGGTGCATGTAGTACCACCGTTTAAGTTAATACTCAAGTTATTTTTTTATAAATACCGAGAAAACTTGCCCTTTATTTTTAAACAATCCTTGTGCCACATGAGTATTTTTGTACATTTTTCCAACTTTGTTCTTCGAATATTAAAAAGTATAACCACGCAGTTTTATTTCGTCCTATCTGAACGAACAAATGCCTTTTAGCCCAAATTTTCACCATATAGACTCATATTTTCACTTTATGCAAAAGTTTTATTTCTTTATGCAAAAGGTTTATTTTAGTGAGTACAAGACAAGCTATATCATTTCACATTATGCAATATGGGATTCCCATGCTGTAGGAAAATCGGCTCTGTAAAAATGATAATTTTTTCAAAGTATACAGTTTTTTTAAAAAATATATATATATATGATAAAATGAAAAATTTATAATTATCTAATCAATTTAATTTTATAAATAATCTATATAATAAAATTTTAGAAAATAAATAAATTAAATTACTAAAATAAAATCATGATAAGTTTTACGAAGGATTCAAATTCTAATTATGCTTACGAACGATTCAAATTCTAAATTTGATGTGACTCAACCAAATCCAATTCCATTGGTGGATCATGACGAATCCATCCAAGTCATATCTTTAATTGTCTGGCTTTCCTATTGGACAGAAGGCCTTTTCACGTAGGGATGGTTGTTGAAATGGCAATTTCTTTTTTTTTTTTTTTGGGTGAATTAAAAATGGCAATCTCAATAATACACAGATTATAAATAAATAAATACACATGAAGCATGATTGAAGGCACTCTAGGGAGAGAAACAAATATTATTCCTTCCATCCCAAAATAATAATTTTTTTTAAAAAAATTAATTTTTTTAATAGTGTAATTATTATAGTTTAGAAAAATTAAATTTTCAAAATTACTCGTAGATAGTATATTTTCTAAAGAAAATATCAACTGTCATAATTGTACTTTTTGTATTATTAATAAATTTAAAAGAAAGGCAAAATAAGACATTAATATTATTTTAATTTTTGATTTTGAAAAGAGAATAATATTTTGAGATAATAAAAAATAAATAATGAATTAATATTTTGAGACGAAAGGAGTACAAAATTGCATCAATACACCCCTATAAAAATTCATTGACAATGCCTTTGTTTGGGAAGAAAAAGTCTGAAGTTTTTTGACTATTTTAGTCAAAAAAAATAAAATAAGTTTTTTAAATCAATAAGACAAAACACTACATCTAATTTATAATTATTACATTTTTTCTCTTATAAAAATTAAAAAATTCAACCCAAATAAATTTTTTTAATTTCAGACTAAAATAATCAACAAGTCAACATCCTTATTATACACTTGAGGCACGCTTTGAAGTCCCATTGGCACAGAGTAAGAGGAGATATTCACAATTACTACTACAAAGTCGTCCCCACAAGAAGGGAAAAAAAAGTATAAAAAAGAAAGAAAGTTTAATGTCATAAAAATCAAATAAATTAGAATCAACAAGGAATTATTCGTTTGTAACAATGTGTGATTCTCTTTTGATTAGTTGAAGGAGCCCGTTACTTTATTATGATAGACTTAAATGGGGATATCATCAACTGCAAATCGTGGAAGGCGTTAAAAAATAGGACAACGTAAGGGTTATTTTAATGGATCGTCATGTCATTAGGCTCGTAAATAAATAAAATTATTTATGAACAAATTTAGTTTGACTTATTTAAAATTCATTTACTAGTAAATATGTTCAAATCAAATTTATGAACTTGTTTAATAATTGAACTGAGTTCAAATAAATTTAAACTCGACTCAAACATATCGGCGAACATGAGTGTCTATAAATTAATATTTTTTTCTAATAATGCATCAAATATAATTTGTTTAGTTATTATTTTATTTCTTTGTTTATTTTAGTGTTTATATAAATTTATATATTTGATTGATGGAATTTATTAATAATGTTCATTATATATATATATATATATATATTATTTTTTTTTTACTCTTAATGTGCACATTAATTTTTTAAAGCTTCTGCTAGGTTTGTTTATGTACTCGATTTGACTCGAACCGAGTTTGAGTTTTTGAAATCTTTAATGAGTTGAGTTCAAACTCGATTACTTAAGTTCAAATTATGTTGAACTCAAGTTCAAGCTTGGCTAATTTTCAATAAACTGAGCTTGAATATATCAAAGTTCAATTTGACTCGTTTTGTTTGCAATCTTATTTTTAAAACAAATTCAAGAGGTATTTTCAAATTGATAGTTATTAATTTTATTTCTTGTCTTATTTTTACTCTTAAATATAAAACAATGGACCCATATTAATAAATGTACATAAAATATATTCACTTATATCTAAATATTAAAAAAATATGATAAAATGATATTTAATATTTTTGTGTTCCTATTTTGAGAGAGAATATAAAATAAAATAAAAAGGTTAGTACCCTGTTATGGCCTTAAGGCCCCGTTTATTTTTAGAGGTAGAATGAAGGGGATTCATAGTGAGGGGATTGTTAGTGAGGGGATTAAGTGAAATTGTGTTTTTTTTAATGATAATTGTTAGTGTAAAAATTGTTAAATTATTTTTATATAAAATAATAAAACAAATAAAAAAATACAAAAAAATAAACATTAATGTTAAAAAAAAAAAACACCCAACATGTGAAAAAATAAAAAAAATTCTAGTCCCCTCACTATTTTTCTAATACACCTCCACTTTCTCCATCCCAATTCCCTTTTCAACCTCCATCTTAATCGCTTCCTCCATCCTAATCGCTTCTCCAACTCTACAAACAAACACAACACTAAAGTGAGTCTCACCTCTATCTTAATCTCATCTCACCCTCTACACCCCAAAACAAACGGGCCTAAAGTCTCACTATTGGCATGATTAAAGCTTACATCGACACTTGCCAATGTCATGACAACTATACAATGAGGTTAGACTCAATTTTTGGGAGAGTAATCTACATGAATTATGTTGTTGGGTTAACCCTCATTTGGGAACATATTTTTTTAGTAATTTTTTGATTTTTGGTTAAAATGTGATGTAAAAAAAACTAGTATGGTTGGTATGATTTTTTGAATTTTTATTTTCTAGGCTTTTTTGGCTATTTTAGCCACAAAAAATAATATAGGCTATTTTAGCCACAAAAAATAAAACATCACATCAAACTCATAATCATTACACTCTTCTCTCACAAAAAAAGTCAAAAAAGTCAAAAAGCTAAAAAACCCTTCCCAAACCAAACTTTTTAGCCCAGGCTAAAATAGCCAAAAAAATCAAAAAACCAAAAAGCCAACCCACTTCCCAAACGGAGGCTTAGTAATCTTTTGACTTTTTAACTAAAAAA